ATAGGAGCTCCACCGAAGGCCCCAGTGCTGCCGCCCGCATGCGTGCGCCCCTCACACGTTTCGTGGCCCCATAGGGAGCTCCACCGAAGGCCCCAGTGCTGCCGCCCGCATGCGTCAGCCACACCCAATTCGGCACACCCCTCACACGTTTCGTGGCCCCATAGGGAGCTCCACCGAAGGCCCCAGTGCTGCCGCCCGCATGCGTCAGCCACACCCAGTTCGGCACACCCCTCACACGTTTCGTGGCCCCATAGGGAGCTCCACCAAGGCCCCAGTGCCGCCGCCCGCATGCGTCAGCCACACCCAATTCGGCACACCCCTCACACGTTTCGTGGCCCCATAGGGAGCTCCACCGAAGGCCCCAGTGCCGCCGCCCGCATGCGTCAGCCACACCCAATTCGGCACACCCCTCACACGTTTCGTGGCCCCATAGGGAGCTCCACCGAAGGCCCCAGTGCCGCCCCCGCATGCGTCAGCACACCCAGGCACACCCCTCACACGCTTCGTGGCCCCATAGGGAGCTCCACCGAAGGCCCCAGTGCTGCGCCCGCATGCGTCAGCCACACCCATTCGCACACCCCTCACACGTTTCGTGGCCCCATAGGGAGCTCCACCGAAGGCCCCAGTGCCGCCGGCCGCATGCGTCAGCCACACCCAATTCGGCACACCCCTCACACGTTTCGTGGCCCCATAGGGAGCTCCACCGAAGGCACCAGTGCCGCCGCCCGCATGCGTCAGCCACACCCAGTTCGGCACACCCCGCACACGTTTCGTGGCCCCATAGGAGCTCCACCGAAGGCCCCAGTGCCGCCGCCCGCATGCGTCAGCCACACCCAATTCGGCACACCCCTCACACGTTTCGTGGCCCCATAGGGAGCTCCACCGAAGGCCCCAGTGCTGCCGCCCGCATGCGTCCCGCACACCCAATTCGGCACACCCCTCACACGCTTTCGTGGCCCCGTAGGGAGCTCCACCGAAGGCCGCAGTGCCGCCGCCCGCATGCGTCAGCAACATCCAATTCGGCACACCCCTCACACGTTTCGTGGCCCCAGCCCGCATGCGTTAGCCACATCCATTTCGGCACACCCCTCACACGTTTCGTGGCCCCATAGGGAGCTCCACCGAAGGCCCCAGTGCCACCGCTCGCATGCGTCCCGCACACCCATTTCGGCACCTCCACCAAACACAGCGTTTCGTGGCCCCACAGGGACCTCCACCGAAGGCCCCAGTGGTGCCGCCCGCATGCGTCACCCCCACCCCAGCACAGCATTTCGTGGCCCCACAGGGAGCTCCACCGAAGGCCCCAGTGGTGCCGCCCGCATGCGCCACCCCCACCCAGCACAGCGTTTCGTGGCCCCACAGGGAGCTCCACCGACGGCCCCAGTGGTGCCGCCCGCATGCGTCACCCCCGCCCAGTACAGCGTTTCGTGGCCCCACAGGGACCTCCACCGAAGGCCCCAGTGGTGCCGCCCGCATGCGTCACCCCCGCCCAGTACAGCGTTTCGTGGCCCCACAGGGACCTCCACCGAAGGCCCCAGTGGTGCCGCCCGCATGCGTCACCCCCACCCAGCACAGCGTTTCGTGGCCCCACAGGGAGCTCCACCGAAAGCGGCACCCGCAATGCGATATTCACAACTGCATATGGTTGGGTCCTTCGCCAGGATAATTGTTTTTTGTGTGCGCTGTTTCACCACAGTGTGTGTTTTTGTGTGTTAAGTACATGACCCTATCCCAAGAGACTCTCAGAAATCCTTGTCAGGAAGTGGGCCTCATGCAGAGAAGCGCCATCAACGCTCCGCAAGCTCCCCAGAGGGCCTCTCATGAGCTCCTGAGGAGCCTGGGAGGTGGCATCGGGAGCCTCTGCAGGAGCCCGTCAAAGCCTTCCGAAGAGTTTCTGGGGGGGTCCCCCCGTGGCGCCCAAGCCCGAGCGCGAAAATCAACTGGCTCCTGCGGGACGGGGTCCGCGGCTGCGCGGGTCCGAAGGCGGACGCCGACAGGGGGCTCGCGACCGTTTCTCCCCTCATTGCATGTCCGGTTGGCCCCTCCTCTCCCCCTTGCCCAATGGCACTGCGTTTTCTGTCTTGCTCCTCTACGTGTGCCTCGTCCTCGTCGTCGCCCTCCCTCCTTTTTCTCCGCTTCCTCCCTGTCATCGTTTGTTTTCGTTCTTGCTTCGCGTTGTCCAAATCGCGTTCCGCTCCCTCGTCTGGGTCGTCGCCTCCTCCTCGGGCGCCCTCTCCCCAAATTCCCCCGCCCCTTCGCCGCCTGCCCCCTTCCGAATCCTCTTGCGCGTTTCTTTTGCATTCCTCGTCGCGCCCCCCTCCACCAGGTTCGCACTCGGTTTGCATGTCTGTTCCGCGCCACTGTGCGTCCTCATCTTTCATGGGCTCTCTGGCACATTCTTTCCACGGATGTGTCTTTGTTTGTCTCTGTGCCGTTTAATGCCATATTCCCCTGTTCAGCTGTCGCGTTCCTCTTGTTTCCCCCCTTTCCGGCGCCTGTCGCTTTTCCGCCCACGACCCCGCACACCTCAAATGCGAGCGTTTGGAGCTCCATGGCGATTCGGGCTAAGTCGGGGCAGTCGTGTTTTCGCGCACGCGGGCTGCTTTCGGTCGTCGACGCCCTCCTCCATTGCGTGCCCGCGCAGGCGGGGATCTGGCGTCCTTGCCGCGCGCGGGGGTGCGCTGTTCTGCACCGCCCACGCGCGCTGGCGGCCGCGCGGCTGTGGCGAGCGCAGGCAGGGTGCTTCCACCGAAGGCCCCAGTGCTGCCGCCCGCATGCGTCACGCACACCCAATTCGGCACACCCCGCACACGTTTCGTGGCCCCATAGGAAGCTCCGCCGAAGGCCCCAATGCTGCCGCCCGCATGCGTCACGCACACCCAATTCGGCACACCCCTCACGTTTCGTGGCCCCATAGGGAGCTCAACCGAAGGCTCCAATGCTGCCGGTCGCATGCGTCACGCACACCCAATCCGGCACACCCCTCACACGTTTCATGGCCCCACAGGGAGCTCCACCGAAGGCCCCAGCGCTGCCGCCCGCATGCGTCACGCACACCCAATTCGGCACACCCCTCACACGTTTCGTGGCCCCATAGGGAGCTCCACCGAAGGCCCCAGTGCTGCCGCCCGCAAGCGTGCGGCACACCCCTCACACATAGGGAGCAAGGCCCCAGTGCTGCCATGCGTCACGCACACCCAATTCGGCACACCCCTCACACGTTTCGTGGCCCCATAGGGAGCTCCGCCGAAGGCCCAGTGCTGCCGCCCGCATGCGTCACGCACACCCAATTCGGCACACCCCTCACGTTTCGTGGCCCCATAGGGAGCTCCGCCGAAGGCCCCAGTGCTGCCGCCCGCATGCGTCACGCACACCAATTCGGCACACCCCTCACACGCTTCGTGGCCCCATAGGGAGCTCCGCCGAAGGCCCCAGTGCTGCCGCCCGCATGCGTCACGCCACACCCAATTCGGCACACCCCTCACACGTTTCGTGGCCCCATAGGGAGCTCCACCGAAGGCCCCAGTGCTGCCGCCCGCATGCGTCCCGCACACCCATTTCGGCACACCCCTCACACGTTTCGTGGCCCCATAGGGAGCTCCACCGAAGGCCCCAGTGCTGCCGCCGCATGCGTCCCGCACACCCATTTCGGCACACCCCTCACACGTTTCGTGGCCCCATAGGGAGCTCCACCGAAGGCCCCAGTGCTGCATGCGTCCCGCATGCATTTCGTGGCCGGGAGCTCCACCGAAGGCCCCACCCGCATGCGTCCCGCACACCCATTTCGGCACACCCCTCACACGTTTCGTGGCCCCATAGGGAGCTCCACCGAAGGCCCCAGCGCTGCCGCCCGCATGCGTCCCGCACACCCAATTCGGCACACCCCTCACACGTTTCGTGGCCCCATAGGGAGCTCCACCGAAGGCCCCAGTGCTGCCGCCCGCATGCGTCCCGCACACCCAATTCGGCACACCCCTCACACGTTTTGTGGCCCCATAGGGAGCTCCGCCGAAGGCCCCAGCGGCCTCGCTCACATGCGTCCCCGCCACCCATCCCGGCACGCCCCTCACAACAACAGGCTTCGTGGCCCCATAGGGAGCTCCACCGAGGGCCCCAGTGGCACCGCCCGCATGCGTCACCACCCGCACCCAATTCGGCACACCCCTCACACGTTTCGTGGCCCCGTAGGGAGCTGCACCGAAGGCCCCAGTGGCGGCGCTCACATGCGTCCCCGCCACGCATGCCAGTACACCCCTCACGCGCTTCGTGGCTCCATAGGGAGCTCCACCGAAGGCCCCAGTAGCGGCGCTCACATGCGTCTCCGCCACCCATCCCGGCACCCCCCCCGCAGCAGCATCATGTTTCGGGTACCCATAGGGAGCTCCACTGGAGGCCCCAGCGGCGGCCCTCACTTGCGCTTCCGCCACCCATGTCGGCACGCCCCGCGCGTGTTTCATGTCCCCATAGGGAGCTTCACCGAATGCCCCAGTGGCACCCATCTCGGCACACCCCTCACACGTTCCGTGGTCCGATGGGGAGTTCCTTTGAAGATGAAACCCGCAGCTGCGGTACTGACAACTGCATATGGTTGGGTTCTTCGCCAGGCTAATTTTTGTCCGGGCGCCGAGACCCCTCCGCCTTTGGCGAAAGAGTGGCCGAAAGGAGGCCCAATAGCTATGCGTTCGTTTGGTGTTTTTCTCAGCAAGACTGATTACCAAAGCATGCCAGGCTTTGGCCCCGACTCGCGAGGATCTAAAGGGAATGCTCGTGGATGCTTCGGTGCGAACGGCTTGTTGTTGGAATGTTCGGGTCTCTGGAAGCCTCCAGAAGCGGAAACAATATGTTCAAACTCTGACCGTCCTGTAGAATGCCCGTCAGAGTCCGACTTGCTGCCGAGGGTACGGCTGCCATCTGCACCCCAGGAGGAGGCGGAGGAGGAGGGGGAGGAGGAGGAGGAGGACCAACATCGCTCCTGCCCCTCATCCGCCCCTCCCTCTCGGCCTGGTGGTCGTCGCGCTCATCCCCGGAGCCACCTTCGGGGCTCGGCAAGAAAGAGGCACGGCGGAGGCACTGCAGGAGTGAAGGTTGAGGGCGACCAGGATCAACCCATGGTTCCCAGGATTCCCAGATGCTGCAACACTCCCTCCCGCCACAAGTCCCCTCGTAATGTGTCCCTACAAACGCTACGGGGAACACAATCTCCACACGGGCGGCACCCCTTGTGAAAGGAAGTCGCTCAGTGCCTTTTTAGCTGAAAGAACCAAGTGCAAGCAAAGCGCAAGCATGTGGAACGACAACCATATGTCAAAAAGGAACAGCTCGAACACTGGTACAAGTGCTCCGCGATTGCAATTCTCTGGCAATAATATGTATGAGAAATGTGTCGATACCCTCATCTTGAAAAAGGTCCGCCTCATCCGGGTAAACATTTGGACAACTCGCAGCATGGCCGTCACACGTCTCGAGGGCATGTCAAATCAAACCCGATGGTTCAACATAATATCACATGCATCCGCTGAATATCAAGCAATGCGTGTTACGACAGATGTAGGAGACACCAAACGAAACGTACATTATGAAACCGACCCCACCTCCATCCGCGCATTCCGTGATGTCACTACAAGCTGTACCGCACTAAAGCGTGAGCCATACATTGAGACCGACTCGCCCTACGTCTGCGTAACTGCTGGCATCTTTCACGACGAAAGTGTGCGGGGCTACGGCGATACCAACACGTTACAGAAGGAACCACCCTCCGTCCACACAACTGTTTGAACAAAAACACGGCGAATGTGCTCGGTGCTCAGACCCTAATCAATGACGACCTACGTTTCACGATCCATCCGTGTGACTTCTGCAAGCGGACAAGATGATGTACGCCGCGTTGCAGCGAGAACAATCCGAAAACTAGATTCTTGGATCCATTCCGCACTAACACATTTCGGAAATGGACTTGGAAAATTTAATACCATAACCGGCGAGAATCACAAGTTGAATCACCCTACTGATAAGCCGTGTGGTGTGACACGGAATAATTTGTGACGAAGGTTTTTGGAATACCAACAAGGAGGATCAGGGTACGGGTCGGGGAGGAACGGGACAGTAAAGGATTCTCAGCGAGTTACAGGCGGCAGAGGATAGACAACTCCATACACATGTATATACATACCTATACGACTCAACGGGACACCACGGGACACCACGGGACAACACGAAACAGTCGTCGATCTCACTATCGATCTCACTATCGATCTCACCATCGATCCCACTTTTGGAACACCACGAGACACCACGGGACACCTCGGGGCACAACATTGATCTCACTATCGATCTCACTACCGATCTCACTATCGATCTCACTATCGATTTTACGCAACGGGACACCACGGGACACCACGGGACACTTGTCACTATCGATCTCATGTTTTAGGACCCCACGGGACACCTCGGGGCACCACATCGATCTCGGCATCGATCTCAGTATCGATCTCTGTATGGATCTCACGATCGATCTCACTCAACGGGACACCACAAGAGACACCACGGGACACCACGGGACACCGCGGGACACCGCGAGCCACCGCCGGACGGACGGACGGACGGGGGAGAATCATTTGTCTTGACTTCGCCCGATCAACGGCGGACACCACGGGACACCACGGGACACAACGAAACACCGCGGGACACCGCGAGCCACCGCCGGACGGACGGACGGACGGGGGAGAACCATTTGTCTTAACTTCGCCCTAGCAACGGCGGACACCAAGGGACACTACGGGACACCGCGGGACACCGCGAGCCACCGCCGGGCGGACGGACGGACGGGGGATAATCATTTGTCTTGACGTCGCCCTAACAACGGCGGGTTCATTCCTCTCGCGCGCCCACGCAGCTTCGCCTCGCCCGCACGCACGACACGAACGAAACAAAACGATTCCCCGGTTGGGGGTCTCCGTTCCACTGCGAACTCACCCTCCAAACCTCCGGTGTGTATATATATATATATATAGATACACCTATACGACCACCCTGCGGGTGATAAGGAGGTGAGGGGGGAGGGGGAACCAACGTCTCACTCAATCGATCTCGCTATCGATCTCACTATCGATCTCACAATCGATCTCACTATCGATATCACAATCGATCTCGCTATCGATCTCACTATCGATCTCACAATCGATCTCACAATCGACCTCACACTCGGTCTCACATTCGGTCTTACTGTCGATCTCACTATCGATCTCACAATCGATCTCACAGTCGATCTCACATTCGGTCTCACATTCGGTCTCACTATCGATCTCACTATCGATCTCACAATCGATCTCACAATCGATCTCACATTCGGTTTCACATTCGGTCTCACTATCGATCTCACAATCGATCTCATTATCGATTTTCACTCGGCAATTTTCACTCGGCACCATCATCATCATAATCATCATTACCATCATCATCTCACAATCGATCTGACTATCGATCTCACAATCGATCTCACTATCGATCTCACAATCGATCTCACATTCGGTCTCACTATCGATGTCACAATCGATCTCACAATCGACGTCATCATCATCATCAACAACAACAACACCAACATCATCATCATCATCATCATCATCATCATCATCATCATCATCATCATCATCATCATCATCATCGCCATCATCACCATCATCATCATCATCATCATCATCATCATCACCATCATCATCATCATAATCATCCACATCATCATCGGGACACCGACGGGACACCGACGGGACACCAGCGGGACACCGGCGGGACACCGCGCGCCACCGGCCGCCCGGAAGAGACACATTTGGTCCGGCCGCGCCTCAGCCACAGGGACACCGACGGGACACCAGCGGGACACCGGCGGGACACCGCGCGCCACCGGCCGCCCGGCGGAGAATCATTTGGTCCGGCCGCGCCTCAGCCACAGGAGACTTTCCTCTCGCCCGCCCACGCAGCTTCGCCTCGCCCGCACGGCACGCACGAACACGAAACCGAAATCGATTTCCCGGTAGGGGGGCTCTCCGTTCCACTTCGATCTCCCCCCCTCACTTCCGATATATATATATATATATATATATATATACAAGCATATACCTATGCGACCACCCTTCGGGTGATAAGGAGGTTGTGGGAGGGGAGAGGGGGGTGAACCAACATCTGACTCAATCGATCTCACTATCGATCTCACTCAACGGGACACCACGGGGCACCACGGGACGCTTGTCGATATCACTATCGATCTCATTGAAGGGGACACCACGGGACACCACGGGCCACCACGGGCCACCACAGGACACCGCGGGACACTTCTCGATCTCACTATCGGTCTCACTACCGATCTCACTATCGATATCACTCAACGGGACACTGTAGGACACCACTGGGCACCTCGGGACACCACATCGATCTCATAATCGATCTCACTATCGACTCCACTCAACGGGACACCACGGGACACCACGGAACACCACGGGACACCTGTCGATCTCACTATCGATCTCACTATCGATCTCACTTTTTGGGACCCCGCGGGACACCTCGGGGCACCACATCGATCTCGGCATCGATCTCAGTATCGATCTCACTATCGATCTCACTTTTGGGGACACCACGGGACACCGCGGGACACCGCGAGCCACCGCCGGCCGGACGGACGGACGGGGGAGAATCATTTGTCTAGACTTCGCCCGAGCAACGGCGGACACCACGGGACACCACGGGACACCACGAAACACCGCGGGACACCGCGAGCCACCGCCGGACGGACGGACGGACGGGGGAGAATCATTTGTCTTAACTTCGCCCTGGTGACAGCGGACACCACGGGACACCACGAGACACCACGGGGCACCACGGGACACCGCGAGCCACCGCCAGACGGACGGACGGGGGATAATTATTTGTCTTGACGTCGCCCTAGCAACGGCGGGTTCATTCCTCTCGCGCGCCCACACAGCTTCGCCTCGCCCGCACGCACGACACGAACAAAACAAAACGATTCCCCGGTTGGGGGTCTCCGTTCCACTGCGATCTCACCCCCGCAACCTCCGACACACACACACATATATATAGATATATATATATATATACATATATATATATATGTATATATATATATATATGATATACTAGAACCATCGCGCGCGCTTCGCGCGCGCTCAGGTTCTAGTTGAGGTCACCGCTCAGGTGCGATGCCCGCGACGATGCTTACCACGAAGACGGCGGCGTGCACTCCGCTCACGTTCGCACGCCATGTTCCGGAGGAGCGTTCCCGGAGCACGGAGCGCCAGAGGCTCCCCCGGTCTTCCCCCCTCCCGGACCATCCTGCCGAGGAACTCTTGGGTTGTGTAGGGCCGGTCTTGCGGGCTCCCTGGGGCTCTCTGGGCCCGCCCAGGGCTGTCTGGGAGCCGACCTGGAGGCGCGCTGGGCCCTATGGGAGCGTCGACAAGCCGAAAAGGCAAGAAGGCCAAGATCCTCCAAATCCTACGTAGAACGAACGATTTTAGCCTGTTGGGACCCTCTTGGGGGTGCTCCTGGAGACGTCTTGAGCCATGTTTGAAGCATCTTGGGAGCTACCTGGGGCCTCCTGGGGCTGTCTTGAGGCGGAAGCCCTGGGTTTTCCGGACGCAGTCCGTGTCTTGGCACCTCTCGGGCATGTTTTGGGGCACTCGTGGGCTGCCCTGGGCGCTTCTTGGGCCAGCCTTGGGCTCTCCGGGACCGCCTCGGGGCGGCCTTGGGCGCTTCTGGAGCTGTTTGGGGGCGGTCTCGGAGGCCTCCTGGGCCGCCTAGGAGCGTCGGACAGCCGCAAAGATCGGAAGGCCAAAACCCTTCGAAAACTATGGTAAAACCACAATTGTTTGGCCTGCTGGGGCCCTTGTGGGAGTGCTCTTGGAAGCGTTTGGAGCCATGTTGGAGGACTCTTGGGGGCTGCCTGAGGCCTCCGGGGTCACTGCTGAGGCAGGAGCCCTGGGTGTTCGGTACGCGGTCCCTCTCTTGGGCCCTTCTTGGGCTTGTT